CTTGCCTTTTCAATGGGGGGGGCCGGAAGGCCAGAATTTGCAACTCAAAATTTAAAAACAACAAAGAATGTAAGAAATGAAGAAAAAGGAGAGAGGGATAGAAATCCACACTTCTAGTTTGAGTCCACTGATTTCTTTCTCACAAGATCCTAGTGGAGCTAAGTAAGATGCACAGAAAAAAATACATATATGTATACATAAAAAAGCCAGACCTTGCAAAGCTATTCCAGAATGGAATGGGCTCTAAAAGGTCACCCAGATACAGCCCCCGGAGTATTTCCAAAAGCAAGGGCACCTGTGGTCCAATGCAAAGTGTAATTTTCTACCTTAAATACCCACACTCAATCGCAGCCATTCCGGGCACGTGGGGCAAAGGTCAAGGACAGGTTTAAGGAATAGGGAAAGCTATTAGTTAATCACATAAAAGCTGGGTCTACTAGGTGGTCGCCACGCCCTCTTCCCCGCCAAACACCGAGAAAACGGCGCAAGGGCGCGAGTGGATGCGTCGGAGACACCAAGCCTCATAAGCGGCGGGGAGAAGGCGCTTTCTCCATCAGAAAGGCAGGGGTGCGCACGGGGGTGCTCTGCGGGAGGGGCCGGGGCGCCTCCCTCGTCGGCCCCTCGGGCCTCCGGCTTTTACCTCCCCAGCATCCTTCCTCCTCCTTCCCTGACTAGGCTCCTCTCCCTCCTTCTCCCATCCCGACCTCTCCAACGTCTCGGAGTCTTCCCCACCTCCAGAGCACGGGGTGGGGTGGGGGGAGAGGTGTCAGGAAATCAGCGCTCCACCTTCACCCCTAGACTAGAGAGCCGCCCCCCGTCCAGGCGCCAACGGTGACAAGGCCCCTCCCGCCCGAAGACGCGCACGACCCCAAGTCTGCCCCCGAACTCCGCTGGTAATGTCAGCGGGGGGAGGGGGGCGCTCTCGAGCTTTCACTAGTGGAGTCATTCCCCTCCCGGTGCCCCTCCCCCCCCAAAGCTCTTCTCGGCCTCAATACCCAAGGAGGGTAGGGATGGATGCCTCGGCGCTCACCTAGCCTCCAATTTTGCCCCCCAGCCCTCTGTCCAGAAATGCGGAGGGAACCTCCCTGCAGCTGCGTGGGACACGGCCAAAAAAGCGGGTAAAAGCCCCAAGTACTAAAGTCGTGGCGGCCCCACCCCGCCCCACAATCCCACTCATTCTCTCCTAAGACGTGGCTGTTTCCTCCGTATTCTTTCCGCCTGGAGACTAGATTTCTTCAACCAATCGTTTACTCGGAGGAGGGGAAGGGGGGCGGGGCTAACTCCACCCCTGGTTTGGGGTTGGGGGAGCTCACCTTGCCCTGCACGTGTCCTTTGCGCCTGCGGCCTAGCTTCCTGGCGGTTTGCTGGGCTGTGTTGCAGTGGACGGGGCGGGGCTTATTTCCTGGAGTTTGGAGCTTTCTCAAGGTACACGTGGCAGCTACTGCAGTGCTTTGGAGGCGGCGGGCTTCCTGCGCGTGCGCAAACAAGCCCAGGCGCGGCCCCCGCTTTTTTCACTGCAGTCATTTTCGAAGGCGGATCGAAGCCTTCTCCTCCCGCCCTTTTTCTGGGCTGTAGCTGGAGGCCAGCTTTCTAATCCCCCGCCCTCTTTCTCCGAGATTTTGCCCAGAACATCCCTTTTCTCTTGAGATCGCCTATGGGCGTCTTTTTAAGGTTTTTCAAAGTACCTCTTTCACCACCTGGGCCACCCTGAAGCGGCCTTCATTAAGCACCTACTGTGTGTGCTAGGCAGGGGGGATATTGAATCCAAACCACTCAGCACTCAGTAAATGCCTGAATTTTGGTTTTTGCCTTTGCATCCCGGGAGCCTGGTGCAGACTCTGCACTTAAGTACCTATTGTTTGATTGGCAGGTAACTGGCATCCTTAGGCTTCCGTGGTGACTGTCTTCCACTGTCTTCCTTCCCACGGTGCAGAAAACTACTCATCCATGTTTGCTAAATCCTATGTGAATCTTGCCCGTGCCCTCATGTCCACTTAAGGGAGTCCACCCGAAGTGGGGAGGACCTTCATCTGGGTTTCCCTCAGTTATCCCTGACATGCCCCTAGTCCTTGGTACACCACGACTCACCCATTTTTCCTGGCCATTCACCTCTGGTGATAGTCTTATGTCCTTTCTCTAGCTTCTAGTAGTCGAAGTACAAGCCTAGTGACCGGAGAGCTGACCCCAAAGCTGGTATAACTCAGGTTCAAATCCCGACTCTGACACATGGTATGGGACCCTCTGATAAGGCAGGAAACTTCGAAAGATATCTTGGGGTTTCAGGCTAGATTTCTTTCTTAAGGACCGTGCCTCAACCCAAATCACTCTGGCTCTCACTGATTGGCCAGGCAACAAGCCCCAGGCCAAACCCCACTTGTTCATTGTTTGGGTGCTTGTTAACTCAGAGTGAATGAAAATAGGAATTGTTTCTGTTTTGGCCAGAAACCCTGAGGGTCTTTCCCTCCCAGTTTGATTTTTTTTTTGAGCCAATTCTTTGCCTAGTTTTTTTGTTTGTTTTTTTGTTTTGTTTTGTTTTTTACCTAGCCTTAATCACTAAATGGGCTTTGCCTCAGTCAAACTGAGACCTACTAAAAGACTTTAGCTTTAAAAAGCCAAGGTCTTCCACTGCTTCTGGAGCCACCTCTACTTCTGATGTGTATCAGCCACTGGGGCTCAGATGGCTCAGGAGGAGAAAATGAGGCTGGTGACTTTGCACAGCCCTCCCTCATCTAAATCCAATTCACTTGCCAGTCATGATATCACCTTCCTGATGCCAAACAACAACCCCTGATAACTGAATTTTCTAGGCAATTCTGAGACTAGTCATTGCAAAGAAGGTACATTAGTAGAAGGTATACCAATGAAATCATAGGTCTCGAGGCCCCATTCCTTTTGTATCATATAAAGCTCTGTCTGTGAAACTTCCCTACCACCACCCTTCCAGTTTACCAAGTTCATTCTAAACCTTGATGTTAACTTTGACTACTTATTCTTCCTCATCGCATATGTAGATGCCAAAAAAATCCATTTTTACTTTTACAACATGTCTAGCAAACAACACCTTCCCAATCACCTATCTACCATCTTCACTTAGGCCCTCTTCAGCTCTTTTGGATTGTTTTAGTGGCCTCCCAATATCTCCTTGCCTAAAGTATCGCCCTATCTAATCCATCCTTTACAGAGCTGCCAAAATGATTTTTAAGCTCAGATCTGTCTATGAGTAACCTTTTGTTCTTTCTCAGCTTCGTTCCAACCTATCTTTTCTGCCTCACTTTTGGGTCTTCCCACCTTCCCATCCTCCTAGTCAGATTGCTTATTCCCCATGCCTGGAATGTACTGTCCTCCATCACCTTAGAGAAATTCCTCACTTCCTTCAACAGAGCTCAAGAACCATCTTCTATATGAAGCCTTAACTGTTTCAAATGTTAGTGTTCCCCCTTTTTAAATACCTTGTAGTTATTCTGTGTATATTCTGTTGATACTTAAATTTGTACAAAATCTCCCTACAGAGAATGCAAGCAAGGTTTGTTTTCTTTTTGCCATGAATTTAACACAGTGCCTAGCACGTAGTAGGTGTTTGGTAAATGCTTGTGGATTGAATTCTTTGTTGGTGACATGATGTGTAGCCCACTGATAACCACTATTTTTCTGCAATGCCCTTTGAATGACCTTCAACTCTTTAGAGACTAGTAGTCCTTCAATCATCAGGAAAATATTTGGGGTTTTTGTTTATTTGTTTCGAAGATGAACTATTATTTCAGGAAAAAGCTTGGGATCATTAAATTTCTCAAAAACAATCCAATCCTTTTCTCCCCTTCCCATTCAATTCTGGTCCAGGTCATTGAATTTGCTCAGTGTCTGTCTAAGATAAAAGTACTGAGATATCATCTATATGGGTTGTCTATTTACCTCTGTAACCCATGAAACAAAGATGCTCTGGATATGCAAAAATACATAATTGTAGCCCCTTCTATTTTGCCAATTTAGTGAGTGTTAGTTGCCATGGAGACTTCAGGATAGGAAGTAACCATGGCAACCAAGCATAGTTTTACCCAGAGATAACAGAGCTCCTGGCTTTTGAAGATGGAGCAAAGATGATGCAAAGAATGATTCAAAGGGGTGATCTTGGCTAAACCGAAGGGAGGGGAAGAGGTGGAAAAGACAGGGTTAGACTGATGTGTCCTATTCCCGTGTACCCTTCCCCCTTCCCCCTTCCTCAAACCCCTAGACGTTTACAGATTGCTGTGAAACCAGTGGCTATCAGAATTGAGGGTCTGTGCCAAAACTACTTAGAGATAATTGATCTGATCTGGGCAGCCATACAAAAGAGAAGCTACTGAAGGCTTGTCCAGGCCAAGTATCTGACACCTTTTTTCCCCTTTCCCCCATTCTTGAGGATAGGGACTCTCACTTTTCTATATGTGTCCTCAGCACTAAGCAATGCTTTGCACATAGTAAATGCTTAATAAATGCTTTAGATTCATTCATCTGTGGTCTAGTGAACCCCCATATTATCATCATTCCCATTTTATAGACCAAGAAACTGATTCTTAGAGAATATGTTGAGATAGTAAAAGTGAGGACTCTTGCTTTTCTGACTTACTAGATTCTGCTTTTCTGGCTAGAGATTCGATGTTCTTGCAACCTCGCCTACCCCTAGGTCTAGTGGGGTGCATGGCTTTAGTAAACGGTTCTTGAGCACTTGGTTTGCTATAATGCTACCTAACTCAGAACGGGTGGTCGTAGCCTCAGGGGTGAGACCCATGTAGCCCCCACCCCCACCCCGGAGCAGTTGGGGGACCCTGTCTGCCTTTTGTTTCTATACGGGAGAAAAATCCGTAGTGTGAAGTAAGAGCTGTGCTGTGTGGCCACACCCCCTACCCCCCATAAGAGTGAAGCTGGGGGCGGAGCGGGTGGGCGACAGCAAGGGGGGCTGCGGCGGGTGCTGCAGAGGCGGTGGCGTCTGCAGAGGCTGCGGCTGCAGAGGCAGAAGCAGAGGCAGAGGCAGAGGCGGCGGCTGCGGCGAAAAAGGCTGTGGCGGCGGATCATTTGCAGCGGCGAGACAGACCCGCAGCTCGGGTAGCCCGCAGTCGGTGTAGTCCTTAGGGTGGTGAGAGGCGGCATGGCGGGTAGAAAGGGTGGCTGGAGCCAGCGTGGTGGTGAGGGAGGGGGCAGGAGCGGGGTGACTCCTTGGGCATCTGTAAGGGGCGAGGCGGCCAGTTCGGGTAATGCCCGGTAGGCTAACCGCGGACTAACCGCAGGTTAGCCGCGGGAAGTGTGGGGGGGGGGCGTCGCGGATGACAAGCAGCCCCACCGGGCAGCCTCCCAGGGCTAGGTGCCCGTGTATCGGGTGCTCGCCAGCTGCAAATAAAACGTTGGCCGCGCTGTTTTTTGTCGTTTTTTTTTTCTCCTCGCAGGCGGTTGGATTTCCAGGCTCTCTTCAACATGACGGCGTCAATCAATGAATGTCTAGAGCTTCAGCTGCTCGAGGTGGAAATGCTGTATTCCATGTTCCCGAGCAAAGGAGAGTTCTGTCTTGAGGATCCGAATGCCCTAAGACGTGTGAAGTCCTACTTGAAAAATCCGACGGGACCCCTGCCCCCCAGAATTGGGTTTGTAGTTATGGTATCGGACTATGAGGTAAATGTTCCGAATTACTGAATGTTCTATGTTAATTTATTGATAATTAAGTTACCTGCAACAAATAGTAACATATTACTGCTAATGGTTCTTATGATTCTCACTAATCGAAATTTTGCCCTTCTTGGTTTTTAAAAGCCTACGTTATATCCAACGACGTTACACGAAGTAAGATTTTGTTAGTGCTTCAGTGACACACAGGTAGAATTTTTAAAAATCTGTATTTTTGAAAAGGATTTCCAAGCCTAGAGGAACACCTCTTTTTATTAAAATTAAATTTTTATTGATGTTTTCTGTTTCTTACATGACCATAGTATCTCATGTATCCCTTCCCCTCTACCTACAGTATTTTTTGGAGAGGAAATAAAAAAGCACAACTGATAGATCTATAAATTGAAAAGGGACATATAGGCTAGGGATATTTCATATTTCTTCACTTGAGTTCCACTTAATCTTTATAATTTTGGTACGTTAACTTTACCTTGTTGTAGTTACTATATATATTGTTTTTTGGCTCTGCTTCCTTCACTCTGCATCAATTCATCCAGATCTTTCCATGCTTCTTTGTATTCATCACACACATCATGTCTCACAGCATGGTAATATTCTATTACATTCATGTACCACAATTTATTTAGCCATTCTCCAATCGATGGGCATCTTTGTTTTAAATTCTTAGGTGTCACAAAAAGTGGTCCTATAAACATCTGGAAGAATAGAGGACTTTTTTTATATCATTGGTTTCCTTGGGGTAAAAGCTCAGGAATGGAGTCTTAGGCTTAAAATGACATTTTAGTCACTTTATTTGCATAATGCCAAATTGCTTTCCAAAACGATTCCACCATTTCAGAGCTCCATCAGCAATGTATTAGTGTGTCCATCTTTCCACAACCCCTCCAAAATTTTTTATCATTTTTGCCAATTTACAGGATGTGCAATGAAACCTCAGGTTTGTTTGATTTCAGTTTCTCTTATTAGTGATTTGGAGCATTTTTTATGTGGTTGTAAACATAATTCTTCTTTTGAGGACTGTTCATATCCTTTGACAGTTTATCTATTGGAGAATGTGTATTAATTATATATGTATATTATATATGTGTGTATATATTTATATATGTGTATATTGTATATTTTAAAAATTATGTCTTAGATACCAAACCCTTATCGAAGAAATTTGATAAAAAGATCTTTTTTCCCATTTGACCACTTCCCTTCTTATATTAAATGTATTAATGTTGTCTGTGCAGAATGTATTGTTTCAAGTTTCCTTCTTCTGTTGTAAACAAAGTATTATATCCATTTCTTTTACTCAAATGTTTTTTTAAGGTGTCTCTGTTCTTACAGGCTGTCTTCCCTTCACCCTTAATTCCCCCTTCCTCTCCTCCAGCTAATCCTGTTCCTTAGGGTTTTTTTCCTCTTATTTTAAAATTTTTGTTATATATTTATTTTTAGCATTTTTTTAAAAAATCTTTTTAGTTCTTTATATTCTCCTGCCTCTCCCCTACTCATTGAGAAGGCAAGAAATATATTAATTATACATGTGAAATCATGCAAAACATTTCCACATTAACCATTTTTCCAAAAAAAAAAAAAAGCAAAAAAATGAAGAAAGTAATAAAATTATACTTCAGTTTACACTCGAAGTTCACAGTTCTCTCTTTGGAGGGAGATAGCATTTTTATTGAGTCCTTTGTAATTGTCTTGGATCATTATATTGAAAAGAGTAGCAGACCTTTCACAGTTGGGCATCATAATAATGCTGTTTCAGTGTACCATAGTCTCCTGTTTCTGTTCACTTCACTTTGCATGAGTTCACATAGGTCTTCCCAGGTTTTTCTGAAATCACCCACTCATCATTTGATATAGCACAGCAGTATTCCATCACAATCATGTGCCACAGCTTGTTCAGCCATTCCCCAATTGATGGCCACCCCTACAATTTCCAATTCTTTGTTACCACAAAAAGGGTTGCGATAAATATTTGTGTATACATGGGGCCCTTTCTTTTCAGTACTGCAGTGGTGTTGCTGGGTCAAAAGGTATGATGCCATTTGATAGACCTTTGGGCATAGTTCCAAATTGTTCTCCAGAATGGTTAGACTAGTTCTCAACCTTACCAGCAGTGCATTGCTGTACCTATTTTTCCACATAGCCTCTAGCCATTTGTCATTTCCTTTTCTGACATGTGAGCCACTCTGATTGGCATGAGATGATACCTTAGAGTTGTTCTAATTTGCATTTCTGTAGTGATTTAGACCATTTTTTCACGTGACCACTGATACCTTTGATTTATTCTGAAAACTGACTGTTCATATCCATTGACCATTGTCAGTTGGAGAATGGCTATTTTTATAAATTTGAGTAAGTTCCCCATATATCTGAGAAACAAGACCTTAACCAGAGAAACTTGCTCCAAAATTTTTTTTTATTCTACTTAATTGTCTATGGTACCTTTTAGCAAAATGTAGGTTCCCTGCCTGTCTCTTTTAATTAGATCTTTTTTTGTTTTTGTTTTTGTTTTGTCAGAGATCATGATTGCTACCACTGTCTTATTTTTTTCAGCAGAAGCATAATAGATTCTTCTCCAGCCCCTTATTTTAACTCTGTGTATGTCTCTCTGTTTCAAGTGTGTCTCTTGTATAGAACATATTGTTGGATTCTGGTTTCTATTCCATTCTGCTATCCGCTTCCGTTTTGTGGGTGAGTTCATCCCATTCACATTCACAGTTATGATTACTAACTGTGTATTTCTCTCCATCCTATTTACTTCTGTTTATCCTTCTCTTTTCCTGTCCTTACTTAAAAGTCTGTTTTGCTTTTGACCACTGCATCCCTTAATCCTCTCCCCCTTAACGCTTTCCCATTTCTCTTAATCCCCTTCCCTCTTACTTTCCTGTTGGGTAAGATAAATTTCTATACCCAGATGAGTGTATATATGTATTCTTCCCTCTTTGCATCAATTCAGATGACAGTGAGATTCAAGCATTGCCCACTCTCACCCCCATTTTCCCCTCCACTGTAAAAGTTTTTCCTTGTACACTCTTCTTTTATGTGATATGATTTTCTTCATTATTCATCTCCCTTCCCCTTTTTCCTAGAGTATCCCTCTTTCTCACCCATCCATTTCTTTTTGAAATCATCCCAAAATAATCGACTCATACCTGTGCCCTCTCTCTATGTAGACTCTTCTAACTGCCCTAATAATGATAAAGTTATTGGGAGTGATATGTATTATCTTCCCATATAGGAATATAAATAATCTAATCTTATTGAGTCCCTTATGATTTCTTTTTCATGTTTGCCTTTTTATGTTTCCTTAAGTTTTGTGTTTTAATGTCACATTTTCTATTTGGCTGTGGTCTTTTTATCAGAAATGATTGAAAGTCCTCTATTTCATTAAATATTGATTTTCTCCCCTGAAGGATTATACTCTGTTTTGCTAGGTTATGGAGCCACAATCAGGATCACATAAGATTTAGCAGCTTAATAGAGCAGAAGGCTTGGAATATGATATTCAGAAAGCAAAGGAGCTAAGATTATAACCAGGATCCCTGCTCCCTTGCGACAGAGTTCAGGGGCTCTTCTCTGCCCTGGAACTGCAAGGTTGCTGCCTTTGCTCTGTTATTTTGGCTTTGCCCCTTCCTTTTCCTTAGTTCTTAAATTTCACTTTTTGGTGCTTTTTTCCAAAAAGGATTTCTCTCACTGTCTTCACTAGCCATCTTCCCTTTCTGTTTACTCTGCAAGTTTTCCTCCTATGTTGATTGTTTTCTCTGTTGATTTAATTTTTTATGTTTAAGGTCTTTGAGTTTTCTTCTTTCTGAAGTCTTTGATACTTTCAATTTTTCCATTTTATTTTCCTTATCACCCACTTCCTGACTCCCTCCCCTCTGATTGTGGTTTCCTTTGGGGCAGGATTTCAAAGCATCTCAGCCTCCTCTAACATTATACAATTCATTCCTACTGTATAACTTCCTCAGAAGCTACAGTGAAGTGTAGAAGTAGGAAATTAAGAAAATTTTGCTAACACAGGGAAAATAAATGTCAATATCTTTTAAAAACAGTAATAAAAGAGGATACAACAAACAAGACTTAGAAAATCTAAGTATTCAAATTATTTGTTCTAATTAAAATAAAGCTTAAGGATGCAGTATTTTACATATCCCACAGAATACCTAGTCCTAAGCTTTGTCTCAGTGAGATAATCAGGTACCTTCCATCTCTAGCCTGATCCTGTACATTCAAGAGCTATGTGTCCATTCATGGGGGTGGTTCCTCTTTTAATGGACATTAAAACAGCTGTTGTAATAATAGCTCACATTTATTTATGTAATATTCTAAGGTTGGCAGGGTACTTACCTCACCACAACATTTTTTGAAGTAGGTAGTACAGATCTTTCTTAGTGGTGGGTTTTAATAGTTGCTAGAATAAAAAAAAAATCCATTTACTCTCTAGCCATCTTGGTGCAGAACTTCTCCAAGGCTGGTCCTTGGATAATAGGCACATTCTATTCCTTTACCTGGTCCACAGTCAAAGCCTTTCTAGCTGAGTAGCACTACTCTACCTACACTGCACTGACAGTAGCTTTCAAGAACATAGGATTATCTCTACACTATGATGAAACATAGTTACTAGAAAGAAGAAATATTTTTGTGAGCAGAAACTTCTGATGGAGTTTTATCTATCTTCTGAAGGGTGGCTTTGACATTTGAATACTGACTGCTTGAGGGAAGGGACTATTTTATTTTTTATCTTTCTACTTACAGTGCCTTAACAAAGTACCTTTTACCTCATACTTTATATATACCAGAGGCAGGGCTTGAATCCATGTCTTTCAGACTTCAAAGCTGCCCTGCTATCCAGTATGCTCTACTGTCTTTAAATGTACCTATGATAACAATAACGATAGCTAACTTTGATATAGCACTTTAAGGTTTGCAAAGTACTTTACATATACTAGAATTTTTATGAAAAGGGAATAGCCATTATTCGTGAGCTGGGCTATTCTGATGCTTTATACATATTTGATTTCAATTTTTAGGGGGAGGTTGAATTGCAGGTTGGCTTTCCTCACAACTATCCAAATGTCAAGCTGCAGCTCTTTGGGCGATCATACTACCTTGACAGAAAACAGCAGATGCTGCTCAATCAAGATCTTTCTGCCTACATCTCAACCTTTGATGCTGGTGAGCTTTGCGTTTGCGCAGCAGTTCAGTGGCTGCGGGACAATAGTGGCCCCTATTTCCGGAAGAGTAAGCTCTTTACTGAACCAGTTGCGAAGGTGAAGATTGTGAAGATCACGTTTCATCGAATGTGGATCTACAGCCACCAGATATGTCGTCCAGAACTGCGAAAGAGGATTTGGGATTGTGCAAAACGACTCAATCTGACTGGGTTTTTTCTGACAGGGAAGCCAGGTATAATTTGTGTGGAGGGCAAAAAAGAGCAGTGTGAGGAATTCTGGCACACAATCAGGTATCCCAACTGGAAGCATATTTCCTGCAAGCATGCTGAAAGTGTGCAGGTAGAAGGTAATGGGGATGAGCTGCGCCTCTTTCAAACTTTTGAGGAATTGCAGTTTGAGAGCCATGGTAATTTCAGGCATGATTACCACATGGATCTGGGCAAGTTCTTGGAATTCCTCAAACAGCATAAGAGTGAACATATTTTCCAGATGTTGTTTGGCATTGAAAGCAAAAGTTCAGGACGCTAGAAATATGTTCACAGAGCAGCATTTGGAATTTTTCAAGTTTTTTTTCCACTGAGAATAAAAACTTGAGTTTAAATGGAATTCATTTTGTGTGTAGCTCCTGTAGTATAGAAGCAAGCTTTTTGTTTTTTTCATCCCTTTTTTTCTTTATGGAGTAGAAAAGGAGGTGTGCAGTGTAGACCCATTATTTTTATTAGGAAACTCGATGTGGAAAGTCCCTCCACTGATACAAGTCAACAACTCATTTAACATTTAATCTGAGAGGTTATTGAACTTGCCCATGATAAAAAACTAGTATGTTGGAGAGGCAGAATTGAACGCTGGTCTACCAGACTTTTAGACAGTGCTGCCTCTTAGAAATGGTACTCATCATTAGTGACTTTCTGCCACTTCATACATTTCTAGCACTAGGTTGCTTTGCTTACTGAGTACTGGGTCATTAGCACCCTCTGTAGCCTAGCTTTGTGTTCTCTTTGTATCTGATGTAGCGCCCCAAACACAGTCCATGTACAATGTAGATGTAGATGTATAGAAATATATGTTTGTTGATTAGTGTGAATGCCATCGGGCACCCATGGAGATTCTAGGTCACTGGGACCATTGTAAATATTCAGTTTGAGATCGTTATCAGCTCTAAGAAACCACAACCATTACAGGGAATCTGTTGTTGTGCTCTGACCAGCTGCCTGGTAGGGAACTTTTGTGCAGGTAAAGAAGATCTGGGGTTCTTAAACTGTTGCAGGAGCCTTCTGGTTCATTCTAAATCCTATAAAGTACCTGAAAGCAAGATCAAGTTCACCCTGTTTCACCTGTCCAGGGTGTGGACCAGGGGGCAGCCTATAGAAAGTCCCAGTCTGAGGGCTCTTCAGCACACAGGTGAACATTGGGTGCTCTTACCAGAATGCTGTGACTGTGAAGTTCTTCATCAAGGGAGATGAAGAATTAACTCACAGACTAGAAAGGGATAAAGACAAACAGATAAACAGCAAATTTATTTTAAGTACATCTGAGAAGTTTAGAACAAAGCATTTTGGGATTATGAAGAAAGGGTCATTTTCTCACAACAATAGTAGGAAGTGTGGGATATGGGCAGATTCTGGCAGAATTTTATTCCGACTAATTCTCTGGACTGATTATCTCATTAGTTTAGAATATGGTGCTAATGAGCATTCCATTGTTGTGAGTTAAATTCTTAAGCAGGACAGTAAGCCTCCTACCCTACATGACCATAAGCTGAAATTGTATCTTTGACCAGTTTCTTTGCAAGGACATATCATTTGCACAGCAGTAAATCTGTGTTAAATATTGTGGATGGCTTAGCCCAGCCTTATACCAGAATGGTGTAGAGAAGACAACACTGAATTTTGAGTCAGAAGACCTGATTTTGAACCCTGGGTTTGCTCTTTAATATTATGTTACCTTAAGCAAGTCCTTTAACTTCCCTGGGATTCAGTTTCCTCATCTATAAAATTAAGTCGGTCTATACTAGTGGTTCTTAACTTTCTTTGTGTCATGGACCAATCTGGTGAAGCCTTCTCAGAATAAATTTTTTAATGAATAAAATATAATATATGGAACTATAAATGAAATCAATTATATTGAAATAGTTATCAAAATATTTTTTGAAAACAAGTTTTCAGACACTTAGTTAAGAACTTCTGAGTTAGTTGATCTAGCTCATCTAGCTGTAAAACCCCAAGATCTTCTGACCATTTAGGAAGGGGAGAGGTGGAGAGGGAATGCTTGTTTTAAGTGTCATGTCTTTATATAAAAAGCTGTTCACTTGTTATTAAACTTTTCATAGAATCATTTCCCAAGTTTTTTTCTGTAAGTGAAAATGTGTTGGTGTAATAAGTGAATTTTTTCATGTAGTGTTCTTAAAATATCAGAAGTGTACTTACTACTCTCAAATGTTCAGCTTAAATGTACCTGTTTTCTTGTCTGTTGAATGGGATAATATTTGTCATTTACCTACTTAAGGATTATTATTAGTAAAGCAAAAAGTACATTATCTTCTTAATTTTCCTTGTACAATTTGTCTGGATCTCTCCTTTTCCCTCCTCCCTTTTGTAAATGTGTTATTGTATGTGTCATATCTTGATTCCACTCCCCCCTGCTCCCTCTAAAATGTGACATCCCTGGTAACAGGGACTGCCATTTTTTATCTTTGTATCCCCAGTACAAGTGTATTTAGTAGTAGTTACGTAATAAATGTTGATTGATTCAAAATCTGCTCCTTTTGTTTATTTCCATGTCTTTGCTAGGTTTCCTATATTTCATTTGAAAGTGGGCAACTTCTAATTTTTGAAATAACAAGCACCAAAAATAAAATGTGTTCTCCTGTAGCAAAATTTCAGAGTTGGGCAGGACTTCAGGCCACCCAGTTCAGCCTATTCTGGAACAAGAATGTCCTTTACAATATCTCCCTACAAGTAAGCAGTCCTCCAGCCTTCATGTGAAAGACCTCAGGTGAGGAGGAACTCCCTACCTCCCAAAGCAGCCAGTTCTACTTTGGGATGGCATTAGTTGTTAGGAAGTTTTCTGCTTTTGTTAAACTTTAGTCTGTTTCTCTGCAACTTCCAGCTATTGTTGTCCCTACTTCTGTCTTCTAGGGCCAAGGAGAACAAGATTAGTCCCCTTATACATTGCCCTTCTCATCATTGAAAACAGCTCTAAGCTTCTCTCAAAGTCTTTTTTTCAGGTTGAGCAGCTCCAGTTGTTTCAACTAATTCTTTTGGGGCATATTTTCCTACCCTGGAAGACCATCTTGGTCTTTCTCATATGGGATTTGGGAAATACCCCCTCACAAAAGGGCCCAAGAAAAACTACCCTCAGTGCAAGGTACTAAGGTGGGTCAGCACCCACTCAAGACCATAATTCGTGAGCTTCCATCAATGTATTTATTTACACTGGCCAGCCAGAGGACACAGTTCAAAAGAAAAGACATTTTATCAAACAGCATAGTGAATGAAGTAACAAGGAAGCTATCCCACTATGTGGTGACTATGGAAGGCCCCAACCTCCAAATGGTGATGTTTCCCACCCCCCACCCCTCCAGATAACTACCTTGGGTTCAAGGTTCCTCTCTGGATCTGGATCCCCTGGACCATTGGTCAAGTACCCCTAACGATGTATTTACTTTTTTATTAGAGAATGTGATTTTCAAAGCAAAGGGACTTATATGAAATTGCCATAGTATTAAGTGTAGTAAAAACACATTTCTTTAAACCTTTGGCACACTCTCCCACTTAATATACCATTTGTGAGAAAAGTAAACACAGCTAGGGAAGACTTATAGAGAAGCATACTTACCAGGAACATGTTTATCCAGGACTTATTCATGGAGGGAAAAGCAAACACCTCTGATGCTACAATAATAATGTTACCATCATGCTGCTCCTGTGAGGCCTATGCCCCACTGGTCTGTGTTAGTGTGGAATCCCTATCGGGTATATGGGAGTAGCTTATACTCAATGCTGGGAATTAACTCCCTGGTCTCACTGTGCCAAGTTGCCACACTGCATCCATTCAGCATTGTGTCCTCCTCCCTTCCCATCCCCCTTCAGTTTTTCTCAACCTTAAGATTCTTTTGGTTTACCATGCTAGTTAATGAAAAGGGGAAACCCTTTAGGTGGAATCACTTTGAGGTGCTACTTTTGTCCTTTTTACTTTATTTCAGTTTCCTGCATTTATTATGTGACTGGCCTCAGACTTACAGACTTGGAATCATACCGTATACATATGGACGGGATGTATTCTGCCAGTGAAGGGAACACATGCAGAAAATACATGAGAACAAGAACCAAACATAAAGGTCATACATATAAAGGATAAGTGCTCAGGGAACACGTGTGAAGAGGCCAATGCCAGAAACCCCTGTGGCTAGGAGCTATGCATGGATAGGGAAACGTACCTTCAGTACCACACAGAAGTCCTGATGTCTTCTGGTGAGATCACTATTTACTGCTGCTTTCAGCAAGATGTTTTATCTGTGTCCCTGTTGGCTATCTCTACTGGTCTCATGATCTCTGAGCTTCTTATTGGTACCTTTTTCTGGGCTTTCACTCTTTGGAGATATCTGGTGGCTCTTCCCATCTAAAATGGGGTGGGGTGGGAAGAAGCTAACTTAAAATGAGAGGACCTTCATTCGGTCCTGTGTGTTCAGGTTTATGCCTGTTTGACAGTAGGCTACTAGACAAGTACTTAACCTCCCTGGGCTTCATTTTCCTTATCTGTAAAATGAGGGTAGAAGGTCAGACTAGATGGCCTCTGAGATCCCTTGCAGCTCTGAATGTATGATTCTGTGACCCTAGTAAGATGCGGTGATTAGAAAGCCTCTCCCTGATGGGGGGGAGGCCATTATTTTAGTCCATACTGAGGTTATGAGCCATCATACCTAGCTAAGAGCCATCAAACAAAAGCTCTAGCCAGAGTACCCCATCCTCAAATTGTGTGTTCTTTTGACGTCCAGTGTTTGCTGTTAATATGAAGTCTGTTGTCCCTGACTCAGGCTTAGAAAATTGTAACTCCTATTTTACCTCTGAGAGAGACTTCCCCCCACAAAAAAAAATTCATATCCAATCCCACGGGACTTGTATAGAGGATGGGGCCTCAAAGCCTAGCTCACAGATGAGATTTTTCCCAAATTGGCATCAACCTATCAATCAATAAGCAAGCATTGATTGAATGGCTACTGTGTGCCAGGCACTATGACATCAGGCAATGGGCATACACATATGAAAGTGAAGGTCCTCACTTTCAAGGACCTCCTAATCTACTAGGGGGGGCTACAGTACATGTGGGGGAGCCATGAAACAACACTTAATCTTGATGGTAACAAGGCTGTAAGATTGTCAGGGAGGCCCTTCAGTCCTCTGCAGTGTGAAAATCTGCAGTCCACAGTACAAAGTAAACAGCAAATCCGTTTGTCATTCGCCTACCAGTGAGGATAGCTTAGTCCCGGGACAGATTCCTGTTCTTTGTGAGGAAAAGGGGGCTGAAGTGCCACACTGGCAAAATCCCCAAGCTGGATAGAACATGGTATCCTGGTGAATGGGTGGATGAGATGTGAAATAGATTCTGGGCCATTTGGATATTTAATGATCTGAAGTGAATTTTCCCTCATTCCTCTACTAGTGAATACAACTCGTGAGTCTAAACCCCAGTAAATAATCTGCAGTCCCAGCAAATTACAAGGGGTACATTAGAATATCTGTAGATATACGACATAAAACATTATGATTTGATTTGTAACATAGTCACAAAAATAATTTCAATTACAAACACATACAGGTACCTAATTCATGTCATTTACATTAGAACTTCGTGCAAGTGGCATTAATAATGATAGCTAACATTTATATAGCATTTTGCAAATATCTAATTTGATCTTCACAACAACCCTGGGCAATAGGACTATTGTTATCCCCGTTTTACAAATGAGGAAACTGAGACAGTTAGAAGTTAAGTGACTTGCCCATGGCCACACATCGTTAGAGGCTAAATTTGAACCCAGGACTCCCTAACTCCAAGACCAGTGTTCTATCCAATTTACCACCTATTTACTGAGAAAATCAAATTGATTCTGATTCCATTTTGTAATTGATTATGTTCTGTATCACTACCAACATTTTGTAGAACTACCTAAAGTCATATTCCTTTGTTTTTAAGTTAAGTTCAGAAGTTGAGGACTTTCAGTGCCAAGATGGTTGAGTGAGGCAGGAACTCTATGGAACCCTTCCAAATTCCCATACAAACAACTTGGAAACCACTCCAGAACTGATTTAGGAGCAGGGAAGCAGCTTCCCAGCTCAGTGGAAAGGTCTATCTCAGCTGGAGTGGGAAAGGAGCAATGTTAGGAGAGTAGCAGCAGGGGGTCTGTGTTGAGGCTTTAAACCCCAGAGCAATCCACCAGAGAGGCCCAGCCTGTCTGCAAGCCAGCAGCCCAGAGATAAGCCTGCAGTCTGTGCAGCACAGCAGCTCAGGCCACCAGCAAGGCCTTACCCCCACTGTTGACTAGTATGGAAATCCTGCCCCAAGGACTGGTCAGCAGTGAGACCGTGCCTCTGAGGCCAGCCATCAACAAAATCCCACCCCAGGACTGGCTAGCAGAGAAGCCCTGCCTCCATAGCAACCTAGCAGCAAGGCCCCACCCCTGAGGCAAACCAGCAACAAAACCCCACACCCAGAGAAGGCCAACAGGGAGGCCCTTCCCAGTCAATACAACCCAGCAGGGAGGCCCCCCCTCCAGTGCAAGGCAGCAGCAAGGCCCTGAGGCCCAGCGAAAGCCAGCAACAAGGCCTTGAGCTCTGGCACACAAAGCTTGAGACAGAGCAGAAACAGAGCCCAACTCTCACATAAAAGTGCCATGTCACAAAATAGGCAGACAAAGTGAGCAAAAAACAAAAAAGAATTTGACTAGAAAGTTACTGTGGTGACAGGGAGGATCAAGGCACAAACTTAGAAGAGAATAAGTGTCAAAATGGCTATATGTGAACCTTCAAAGAAAAATATAATTTGGTTTCAGGCCCAAAAAGAACTCCTGATAGAGCTTTAAAAGATTTTTTAAAAGCAAATTAGAGAAGAAGAAGAAAAATTGGGAAAAGAAATGAGAGTAATACAACAGAATCGTGAAAAAAGAGTCAACAGCTTGGTAAAAGAAATATAGAAAATGGAAAATGATATACAAAAATCCAAAAGCAGAATTAGGCCAAATGGAAAAGAAGGTACAAAAAGTCACTAGAGAAAATAATTCCTTAAAAATTAGAGTTGGGGGGGAAAATTAGAATTGGGCAGATGGAAGCTAATGACTCCATGAGCCATCAAGATACAATAAAACAAAATCAAAAGAATATAAAAAACGGAAAAAAATGTGACATTTCTCATTGGAAAAGCAACTGACTTATAAAATAGATCCAGGAGAGGACAGATAATTTAAGAATTATTGGACTACCTGGAAGTCATGATCAAAACAAGAAAAAAAAATCCTAGACAACATCATTCAAGAAATTATCAAGGAAAATATCCCTGATATCCTAGAACAGGCGTGGAGAACCCATGGCCTTGCGGCCACATGTGGCCCTCTAGGTCCTTGGGTGTGGCCTTTTGACTGAGTCCAAGTTTTATAAAACAAATCCTTTTATTGAGGGGACTTGTCCTGTGAAGTTTGGATTCAATCAAAAGGCTGCACCCAAGGACCAAGAAGGCCACAGGTTCCCCACTCCTGTCTTAGAA